TTTTAATACAAAACAGAATATTAAAGTAAACTGACCTTCATAAAATATTAAGGCAAACATCTGGGTTATGTCGATTGTTTTTTTGCAATGTTTTAATTTTAAGCGTGTAATGAAAATGAGAAATATGACAATTTGAATATCCATAACTTGCCGAAAAATTATAACATAATAAACCAAATATAGATAATATTTTTCTCTTTATATTTGATTATACGAGTAAGTCAGTTTACGTAATATTAAAAATAAATATACAAAATTTGAAATGCTGAATGCAAATGCGCTGTTTTATGTTTTCGGGTGGAAACAACATAAGGATGTGTGGTGGATTAAATTATATACTTGCATTTTAGTTCTATGTTATTATACAGTAAATATAGTACTTATATGTATGTACATAATTATTTTGAATTTAGATGTAGAATAATTCCTATGTTTTTAAGAACGTTTTTTTCATCAATGTTGAAATTTCCGAAGTCGTTTCAATGCGTTTTTGTTTGTCTAATAATTTTATTACATAAATGCGGTGCATTAAAAAAGATTGATGTTAATAAAATCTCTTGTCTATCCAATGTTTTTTTTTTCATTGAAATATTCAGTTACAGAAAATACTACTTCTTTTTTATAATTTTTTTTATTTTTCATTTTGTGTTTTATTATTTATTAAAGTAATTTTGGATGTATTATCATTTATTAGAATATTTATATTAATTTAATTTGTTTTATTCGCTGATTTCATTACCCATGAATCCATATTACGATTAAAAAATATATTATTATTACTGTTATTATTATTATTACCTATTCATTCAGTTTTCCTCAAATTTAATAAAAACTGAATTCATTTAATTACAGTATAACAACTATTTGTAATATTATCTTTAAATAATAATCATGTATTTCTTGGCGTACTGCTGCAATCAGTGATTAAATGAAAAAAAAAATGAATTAAATGAACATATAAAATACACGTCTGTTTCCAGTTAGTCAGTCGTTCATTCAAACAGAAATAAAAGTTATAATAATAATTGACAATTTAGTGTTACAATGTTGAATGTTAACCCGCGGGCCACCAGTTGCCCGCCCCTGGTTTAATATATTATTAATTCTTCTGTCAGATGATTCTGTGAACATTGTAAGAAGTGGTAATATTTTATTCTCCACGATTGAACAATATTTTTAAAGTAAAGGGAGAAAAATGACACTATCTCCAGCATAATCTAATTGATATGCTAATATTTTTCTTAGGGCGATTCACATTTAGGAGACAATATCATACAGATACCCACATACACACCCGGTATGAAATAACTTTTATTTTTTTACACATACTATTTTCTTTTTTGTTTTAATATAGAAACTTATTTATCACACTTCCACTTTAATTATTCTTGGGTACGTGTAAGATCACGACTGATATTGGCTATTATGTGGCGCATTTAAACCATTATGGTGGCAATTTTGAGCTTATTAAGTTTTATTTTTACATTGTAAATACAATTTTTAGTTTAATACAAAATTATTATTCATAGTATTATTCACTATTGTCATTTATTCATAGTGTAACTAGTAATTTATAAAATTAAATTGTAATCACTTTTTCTTACTCGTATAAATTATTTGTTTTTTCATAACGCATTATTCGACGGCGTGATTCGCATCTATATGAGCTTCAGACGTAAGCCGGATTAGAAATGGAATATCACTTCAAATCAATATTAGATTACAAATTTTTTTATATTTTTGTGTAGTGCCTTTATTTTGCAGACTAGAAAATCATAGTGTTAGTCTATGAGTATAACATTATCATTTTGTGAGAAATAATTTAATGGGTTTGTTTTCATATTTACTGTGCAGAACGTGTTTATATTTATTATTCAGATTACGACATAAGATATTACATTATTTTCCAAACAAATAGTATAATGTTTAGTTGTAATTGTGTTAACTATAATATTTCCTTATTATCCTTTAATGATCTGTATCTTTAAGCCTTTATGCAGGCGCAATGGGAAACTTCGTGGTAGTTTGGCAAAAGCTGAGAGTAGTAGAGGCGTTTGAAAAATTGGAGATGATCCAAAATGTGGGCCAAATATATTATTATATGACCTTCTAGATTACAACGTACAAGTCAATACGATAAATCTAAGTTTCTAGGATTTGTTGATAAGGTGCACATTATTATAGATGATATGATTATTCGAAATAGTTATAATAGGTAACAGATTATCGTTGATAATATAAGGATGCCAAAATGTTTAAATGGTAAATAATACAATATTATCATTTAGCTTGTGAATAGTAACAGTAAGCCACTATAATAGTTACTGAATTATTATTTCGATAACCGACAAAATAATTCATAAAATAAGTATGTTAAATTTGAAAAATAAACTTATTGCTGATTTTGATAGTAAAAATATTTTTATGTTATTTTTTTATTTTAATATGTGAATATTATTAATAAACTGAACATTTATTTAGGTATAAAATTATTAATATGGTAATATTTTAGTCAAAAGTAATAATATTACTCTAACTATTCTTCAAATAAAAAACATGTATAGGCACTTTTATGTGGTATAATAATTGTTTACAATTTAAACGAAATTAATTCAATTTACTAAAATGCAACAAGAAAAAAAAATCTATCTTAACTTAAGTTAATTAAAATAAATAAAGCTGGCAGAATAAAATTAATTTAAAATCTCATAAAATTAAATATTGAGAAAAATGTGACTCAATTATATTTAAATGTTTATTTTACCGTTTATAAGTTTTAAATCTAAACTTAGCATATAACTTAAATTTTGTAATATATATTTTTCGTTATATATATTTACAATTATAAAAGTTAATTGTTTGTAAGTTGGGTTTAAAGTAAACTTTTGAAATCTTATATATAAAAATGTAAAAATATTTTATAAAATTAATAGCAAAAAATACTTGAGATGATCTGGCTGACTATAAAGTAAATATTGTATTGATTTATACCATCAAAAGCAATTTCTTCAAGTCGTTTGTTTATGAATTATGCATTTATATATTTATTTATTTGAGTATTTTATGGATTTTCGCTATGTTTTTATAGGTACATTTATTTTTAGCAAAAGAGGTTTATCTAAAAATAGAGGTGATTCAAGCTATTATCGCCATCTAAACCATAAATAATAAAAAAGTTCTTTTTTTGACGTTCACAATATATCATTATTAAAAATGAAAGTAAAAACGTTAATTTCTAGTGTATGCCATATGAGGTAAACAGTAGTTAGAATGAATAGGTAAGTGATTTTTTTTCTTTAAAAAGAAACATATCCATCCATTATTTTATTTTATATTTTTTACAATTTTTCCAATCGTAAGACTGAATGAAATGCGGAGGGTCTATAGATATGTGAAGCTATTAATAATTTATATTTGTAGACTTGTTTACAATCGCGAAAAAAATAATGAGAAAATTTGAAAATATATTTTTTCTAAAACTTTATTTGGATCTATTAATGTTTGATGTATTGAGATAGATTATGAGAGTTTGATACTTGGTACTTGCATAATAATGATATGTTATGATATAAAATTTAAAAAGCTTCTCTGTGAGGTAAAGTAGAAGGACCACTGAGATTGAGTAATTATTATTCTTTATTGTTTTTCCACACTTTGAAATCTGCTTAAATAGTATAATTATAAGTACACAGTACAATTAATGAATACATGAACAGAGCAGTTTTTTGATTCCAATGATTTCAATTTTGTGAGGTGTCAATGATGGTATTAATGAGTATTATGAATTATTTATTATGATCTTATATTTAACTAGTTGTTACTTACATTATTTTTTTAGATGATTTTAATAATCTATGCAAATTCAAATTTGTATTTAAATTTAGAATGTATATAAAAATTATGTATTTATTCGATGAAAACTTACACACACACACACACACATACACACACACACACACACACACACACACACACACACACACACACACACATATATATATATATAATATAATGCATTAAATTAAAACTGATATTTGATAATAAACAAACACTTCAAAAAGTTATTTTATGTAGAAGTTAATTTAAAGCAATTAATATAGCAGAATGTACATTTGGAAAAAATAACAATATCCTAAACTAAATATTCCATCTTAAGATTCTATTAACCTAATTATGCTTTTACTAAGTATATATTTTTACTCGTGTTGCAGAATTAATAATATTTATTATATTATTTATTTAAGATTTAACAGGAAATAATATTTTAAATAAAAAAATTTAATTAAATTCAGAAGATAAATTACAACTATATATAATTTTTTTTAATATATTTTATTACAATTCTAACTGTACAACATTCGAGTATATTTAAGCTTTAAGCACAGTTCAATGAGACAAAAACAAAATATTAATTGAAATGTATTTACTATTATTTTTAGTATCTACGTTTAAGAATCATTTAAGAATTTTAATATAGAATCTAATATAACAGTGTTTAAAAATGTATGAAAAATTCTGTAGAGACTGAATATACGATATAAAAGTAAACTGTACTATACTATAGTAACTATAGTACAGTTATAGTTACTATAACATGATATATTAAGTATAAGAATGCAATTAGAATAAAAATAGCAGTTGATAGTATAATCAGTGAACCGTATCATATAGCTAATTGTAATACACAGTAGTTATCGGTGGATACCCATACAGGAGACTATGAGTAGCTACGAGACTGCTGTCTCAACTGTAATTTGTAAATATGTATGAATTATTATAATTAAATAAAAGATTATATAATTAACAGTTGAAATTACTGTATAAAAATATTGAGCTATCTGTTCGTATAATACATATAACTTCAGGACATAACTATCCTCCCTGGATATCTTTATCTAACTAGATTACCCTGGCCACGGTACAATACTAATATAATTTTATGAATGAATTATATAAATTAATTAACTAACTGTTATTAAAATAATTGTTTATATTTTTAGAAGGAAAAACATCTACAGGAAGTCTGAACTGTTTGTTGGCAAGATCGTTATGCAATGAAGATCCATCGTGTTTTAAAATTATAAACCTTATTCCAAGTTTATGTGGGAATGAAATAGGTAAATAAATTATTCTATATTAATATTATAAATGATAATAACTGTTTTTATGTTTTAAACAATACAATTATTAATTAGCTATTTCATACAGTATAAATCAGTCTCGAAAATATAATTGAACAACAATATTACATGGTCATATTATTTTTAGTGAATTATTAAAAAATGTTCATATGTGATACAGTTCTCTAAAGTTTTACATGCTTTAAATGTATTACATTATTATGGTATCATGAACTTAATCATGATTAAGAATATGGAAATATTTTATCAGTATATATATGTATAATATTAGTACAGCGAAACTTCTAAATATTGGAAACTATAGTGGACGTGGACACTAAAAATTGGTACCAAAATTTAAAATTAGCTATCATAAATAGATATAATATATGTATGTACTACAAATCGGAAGTGTTTATGTAATAAAAGTACTATATTTATTGTTCATATTTTATTATCTTAATGGTTTTCCTATTCAATAAATAAAAACTTTTTTGGTTACATCAGTTGCGTGCTACCCGTTGTTTGAACACGTACCTACATTAATTTATTTAAAATGAACAATAAAGGAAAAAGATTTAACTTTGAAGAAAAACTTTCTAAAGACATATTTTAAAAATAAAGAAGTTACAATTGGATTATAAATAGCAGCCAATTTTTAAATTCACTATGAAAAGCAGAAGAGTTTACACGAAAAATGATTTGTTTAACTGTACATAAACACATATACTCATTTTTTAATATACATATGTTACCGGCAATATAGATAATCCGGTATTTTGCAAAATGCCTAGGCATTATACAAAATGCCAAAAATCACTAGGCAATATACATTATATGAGCTTTGCCTTGGTCAGTGGTTCTCAAACTTTTTTTGTCAGCGGAGCTCTTATGTTTTCAAAAAAATGTATGGAGCCTCGAAAATCAGGAATTTATATTCAAGACAACAATAATTAATAATATTTCATATTGAGAAAAACACAGTTCAATATTTCATTTTTTTTAAAGTTCAGATTTTTTTATTTGGTATGAAAACTTTAGTCATTTTAAGTTGTATTGATAAATTTACTTCATTTAATTTTGTGAAAATATCAGCCAAGTTATGAAATCATAATAACCAAATTTTATCAGAAGTCTTACTTGTAAATAAAATTGGTGTCACTAAAACGTATAACTCGTTGCGCAATTCAGGTTACCAGTGTTTTTCCTCAATAACTAAGAAATTTAATAATATTTAAATTTAGATAATTAATATATGCCCACGGAGCTCCTAGACTTCTTCCACGGAGCACAGTTTGAGGATCACTGGCCTAGGTATTATATATAATGCCAATCGTGGAGTAGGCAATATGAAGAAAACTAACAAAATTGAACATCGCCTATTACTAATGACTTTACTTATCGTTTATTATAAATGTGCATTCACAATTTAACGCAATAAAGATTAATATTTTTTTACTACTAAAATAATAATTCTGAGATACAATATTGGACGTACTAATAATTTTATTACAGTACCTATCGTAATTTTTCTCGTTATTTTCGTGTTAAAATAAAAAGTGTATTTGCTTTAAAAATAATATTTTGTGTACTTCAATCAAAATGTCACTTTTCTACAATATGTTATAATAAGTAAATAGTAGTAAAGTTAGTTAAGTAAAATATTTATATAATAGTAATAATATAATAATAGATTAAAATTAAATTTTGTCTGTAATATGAGTAATAATGTATAATAATTATAACAATCTTAATGTATTACATATAATAAAATGTATTCTACTTTGCCTAAAAAAAATCGGCATTTAAGTAAAGTCGTTAGTAATAGGCGATGCCCAATTTTGTTTTCTTCATATTGCCTACTCTACGATTGGCATTATACATAATGCTTAGGTATTTTATAAAATACCTAGGTTAAAAGTAAAATTATATTGAAAGTCATATGTTTTATATACATTGCCTCAAATGGGTCGGCTATTTGTATTATGCCTAGGCATTTTGCAAAATACCTGAATTATCCATATTGCCAGTAATATATATAATAAATAATAAACGTAAATAAAAATTAATAATAATTTTAATATTAGAATACAATAAACACAATAAATATATTTAAATATAGTATAATAATAATACATTTTTACGTACTTTGAAATATTTTCCTGATAGCACCTCCTCAGGGCCGGTTACTCAATATTGATGGGTTATAAGTATACCTACAAATTTGCCAAAAACTTTCTGAAATAAAATTCTACAATACTAATATAATTTTATTTGTTGATGATTACCGACTATATAAATAGGTAATTCATAGATGGGGATATTATACCCCCATATTACCTCCCTAATGCTGACTCTGTGCTTCTTTATAGTGGATATTTTTTAATTCTTCGCAATTTGTAGATGTTTTTTCCATAGTGGATAAAATCCTGTGAGAGATATTTCTTAAATCTACATGACTCTCTACTATAAAAAGGTTTCATTGTTTGAAGTATAAAATTAATACAAAATAATTAGTCATTAAATATTTTTATTCTTTGTTTATCATACGTTTGTATAAAATAGAAATATTTGACTAAATATTATTAATTTTTTTACATAAATATTTTATTCTTATATAAAGAAATGTATCTTCAATTATAATATGATATTATTGTTTTAAAAAATGTTAAGAACGTGTTTATTAGATTAAACAAACTTTAAAATATTGTCGTTCTCTCGAGATCTCTTTCTTAAATTTGAAAAAAGTTTTGTTCACATAATAATGAGAAAACTAAACAAAAAATTAAAATTATAATACTTTTGAAATATCATTTAATACGTAGAAAATGTAAATTTACCTTTTTAAATGCCTTATTTATTTTCGATCGACATGAGTATTAACAATACTTGATACTTCGCTATTGGTATAAATTGTCTTTGTATACATACATATTTATATAATAATAATAATAATAATAATAATAATAATAATAATAATAATAGTAATAATAGTAATAATAATGATACTGTATATTTTATAATTCAGTATAGTTGCGAAAAGTACAACATACGAGTATTAATATAATAATAATATAGTTATGCATAAAAACAATGGTCCATAGTAGTAGTAAAATCGGTTTGAACGGCATCGGGGTTTGAAAGGATGGAAAATACCACTAAAACAGTCATGTAATCACATAAATACAGATTTGTTTCGATTAGATGCATACAGAGGTTGTTTGCTTGGTTGAATAATAAAAAAAAAATATACCTAAAAGTATATACACATATAACTCGATATGGACTAATAAAAAGTGTAATTTATAGTTTTGTTGAAAACTCGTATATATTTGTAAAAAAAAAAAATAATATCACAGTATGTATGTATATATCGTATGTTGGAAAAACTAGAATGCGTTTGTATAAAAAATAAAATCATTCAGATCGTGATCTATAATATTCTATAAAGAATTACTCTTCTTTCTTTCAAAATGTCATTATTAAATACGTATAAGTCGCATTTTTAATATACCATTGATTTATTTTTTTACACTTCAGTAAAATATTTATATCATTGGTTGCATTATAACAGTAGTTTTCAAACTAAGCAATAATAATTTAGAGACTAGGTGAGTACATCTGAATTAAAAGAAATTGAAACATTGTTATTAGTTGAATTAATATAATATGTATATTAATTTACTATACTACATATAATGTATGTAGGTATTATATATGCAGATGTAAGCATACCAATTTATTAGCAAATCCATTGTCGAAGTACTAATAAATTAAAAAAATAAGGGCAAAAATCCTAGGTCTGATGAGATTCCATTTGACTATAAAAATGTAGTAAATTTTGTTTTTTCAAAATGAAATACTCTATTGCTTATAATATTCTTTTTTTAAGATTAAGGTCATTTTTTTTTTCAATAATCAGTAATAAATATGTATGAGAAACTTCGTATTACATTTTGAAATTACTTTTTGTTAAACCAAAATTATTTTATAGACATTTCCGAAAAAAAAAAAACATGAATTTTTCAATTATTTATAAAATAACTATAATTTCTATATTACAAATTTTTCATCAAGTTTCATCTATTAAGAAAACTGTTGAAATATTCGTGAAATTGCCACCTTTTAAAGTACAAATTAGACATTATTTTTTATCAGAAATCTCTAATGATTAGACCTTTCAGGTCGTGATAGTGTTCACAGTCACACATAAAAAAAAAAAAAAATTTGAAAAAACCAAAAGTTTACTTGTTTTACTTAGAAGAAATCATTGATCACAGTAAAGTTTATAAATTACTTAAATACCAATTTAAACTGCATTTTTTAATTTTTTTAATAAATTAAATTGTTTGTGTTTATATGACATAAGTACGAATTATCAGAAACAAATTAAAAATCAAGTTATAGGTAAATTATTTTTTATGAGTTTTAGTTTAAAATTGACATTGTTGATTTTAGGGCTTCATTCATTTTTTTAGCATCTTAAAACCTCCTTGAACAAAAATGTTTGATAACCACTGTTTTATAGCATATGATACATATAATACTCGTATTTATGCGTGTATGAGTATCAGTGAGTTTTTATTACAGCAATATTGAATATTATAAATACAATAAATATCAGTGTTAGATACATTCATGAGCTTTTAATTTTTTATTTTTTAACACATACATTTGTCGTTGAATTTACAGTCTCGTGTTCGACGACTACAGTGATCAAGTGTCGCGCGGCTTTGAAAACCCTTCAAGCGTTTCCATTCTTCAAGCCAACGTGTCTGTGCCGAGAACCGAAAATCGATTACGAATGCAATTCCTTTCGTAATTTTTTGTTCGACCACCCGTGTAACTTCACACAGCGCAAAGGTAACAAATATAATTGATTTGAACAAATATAATATTATTGATTATATTCGTAAAGGTACTTGTATATAAAATATAAATATATAGGCACAGTACGGTATTCGATATTTATACATTAAACTGTATATTATAATTGACAGTCATATTTATATTTATATAAGTGTAAAGACCACAAACAATTGCATGTCTAAATATGGTCAACGAATTCATGTAATATGAAATATGTAATGTATTTATTGGTATAATTGAAAAGACATGTCGTAAAATTTGATTGATGACTTAAGAATATCCTTATTCAAGTATATAATATTATGAACCTAAATCTCTATGCATACGCATATGCCTTGCACACCTATACATATAACTAAATCTTTGATAATTTGTCAAAGATTTAAAATGAATGGGTAAAATATTGTCTTATTCGAATGGTAAATATATTACAACTACGAGAAAACAGTATATCTTACATTTTACATAGTTAATTTTATGTATTTTAATTTTATCATAAAGTTGTTTTAAATATCCAAAACCATAACACGCATCATATTAGTCTAGTTGCATCACAAGATATATGGATAAGAACACCCTAACGATAAGTTACAAGATATCTATTTATATAAAACAAAGATGCAAAATAAGTATGTGGCGTTGACATTGATATATTTAAAATAAACACATCATATTTTGATTTTCAACCGAGTAAATTTTTACCTTCCTTTATAAGACCGATTATTATAATTCAGAGAATGTATGTAAATCTTGGAGTAAAACTTAACCTTGTAAGGTAAGAAATCAGTTAGCCACAAAAGTTTTTATAAACATCATGGACGGTATTCATTAGGAGACAAAGTCCACCCGACCTGAACGTTCACAATCAAGACACCTTCGAGTGTATTATGATGTATTTCGGTCGACTCGTCGTTTTGCTATCTCCATACCTGTTTTCGAGTAATTGACCGGAACTGAACACGATTATTATAATTATGTCCACTGTATGGGGGTACCGGTTTAACAAAATAAAAATAGAATGGTCGAGGCGAGAGACACCACGACTGCGTGTATACGTTTTTGACTTCCTTTTTCCGTCGCAAAAATAATATGGGTGGCTGAGAAGATTTTTCCGATGTGTCTCCGAGATCACGCCTTAGGAACACGAGCGTAGGGTGATATGTATGTATTTTGTATTATATATTCTTATTATTATTTATACTTTGGCCGGTATCCCCCTTTTTATTGTGTAGTTATTTGTATGTGTTAAATTATTTTTTAGTTATGAATTATTATTATTTATGATGACATAACTGAAAAAAGATGGGTCCGTTTTTGATTACAGCTTCTCACGAAGCAATCATCACCATTATTATTATTATTATGAGTATTAATGCTCGGTAAATGTATTTTGATTTTAATTTTTTTTTCTGAGTTTTACGCCCGAATTACTTTTCTCGGCAACAAGATAATATAATAATTTCTTTTATTTCTCTGGTTGTATATTTTTATCTGACATCTCCTTATTTCCAATTTATTATGATTTCTAAAAAAATATTATAGGCTCTGGCAAACGCCTTGGCCATAGGTTGACGACCCGATTACGGTCCGTCACATAGTGCTCCACTTATTTGGCCATGTTATAATATTGCGAGACGTTACAACCTCAATACTCCATAACCACTAAAAACAATAGTTATATAACAATAGGTCTACATAGACAATAAATATAAAAAACTCATTTGATTCTACAAAAGGGGTTTTAGAAATTTGAAATAAATAAATATTAAAAAATAATTAACATGATTCTAATAGTGGATCGCATATTATTCTAATTAATTATAGATAATAAGTCGATTAGTTTTGTATTCAAGTATTGTTACTTTAATCCTATAAATGTTATAATGTTTCATTATTGTGTTAAAGCTTTTTGGAATATTATTTATTTATCGCTTCATTCACTATATGTAGACTTACAACTTTTACCAAGTATAAAAAACAACTATCATTAGTAATAGGAAATATTTTTGTCATCGATGATACTGCAAGTGTAATTTTTTAATTCTTAGAAGGTTGTACTACATAATAACTCTTATTTAATGAATACAAACATTTTTTATAATTGTTTTTTCAATGTGACTTAGTATTTTAACATGTTTGTTAAAAAAATGTAATCGTTCAACTTTTTTCGTTGTATTTTTCCGTATGATTAGTAAATAATTTTTATGCAGCAAATATTTCTATCCAAATGAAAGTTAATAGTACAATAATTTTTATAAATGCGATCATTATTAATAAATAGTTTTTAAATAAATATTCAAAACTATAGTAAATAGACGAAAGTTCCTAGAGTTTTAGAATAGTTCAAATTTGAAAACAAAACTAATAGTTATATTATTTCATAGGATACAAATAAATGAATCTTGTTTTCATAGATGTATCATAGTTATATAATTTAGCAAGGATGTAAAATGTCAAGTTATCATTTTATGTGACAATTTTTTTTTTAAATTAATGTCTGGAATGGTAAGAATGAAGAAAAAATAAACATTCTCGTAAAATGCTGAATTACCTTTAAATGCTGAGTGATATACTCGTATTATCTTGTTCATATTCGTTTCAACTATTGTTTCATTCTTGTTTCAACATTTATCAAAAATATTCATATTATTTTTCGAGAAATGATTCTTGGAAATATTGTCTCTTTACGTGGTGGAATTAGGTGCCCACCACGTTCACCAGATTTGAGCGCATACGATTTTTACTTCTGAGGATATCTCAAAAGTCAAGGGTACTAATATCGTACATAAACTATGGAAGCCCTGAAAGAAGTCATAACACAGAAAGTTGCTGCTATCCCACCTGACATGACTCGTAGATTCATATCAAACTATTAAAAAAGGCTTAATCAATGTATTGAAAACAAGGGTTACCACTTAAGTGATGTAAATTTTAAAAATAGTTTAAATAAAATGGCATAATACGTAAAATTTGTAAAAACTTTTCTTTATATAGGTATTTGAATTGATTTAGTATTTACAAGTTTCATGAATCAGAGAGGGTTTTCTGCCACACCTTGTATTTTACACATACTATACATTATACATGTTGTATATAGTTATTGAAAATTGTACATTTTTTTGCTTTTCTTCTGCAACAGAACTGTGATTATCTACTGATTAATCTTGCATTATCCTTTCTGAAGCATAATATATTAAATTGAGAAATCTTGTTACATTAATATAGATTTTATCTATGATCAAGTATTATTTTGAACACAGACATTTTCTACGTTAACGATTCTTTTTGAAATGGAATAACATTCGAATCCAGCGGTGGCATTTGAGAATAGATAAATAAAATAAAATGAAATCAAGCTACGTCATCATCGTATTTATATTCATATGCTTGAAAAATTCCAAAAGATCAATCAAACCAAGAATGATGCAAATCGCCAGCGATTGATGAAATGTCTGGAAATCTCATAGCTATACCAGTGGTATTTACCAGGTTGGTATGAGATTCGTATGGATTTTTTTTTACTTTCGAAAAACGATGAAAGTGGATGGAGGGGTACGGACAGCTGAATGAATTACGACCACCACTATCACCAACCGTCGTCATGAAAAGTATGAGCCAAAAAAAAGTGCACGGTGGACAAAGTGGTATTGCGTGCTCTGCGTTGACTGACTGATGGTTAAAGCTATGTTCTTTTAGGGGAAAAAATAAAGACCTTCTATGTACTAAACAATTAGCAATCATTAAAAAGTTATATAAGTGCGTATATTTTTCTGTTTATTAAAATAACATACATATTTTTTTTCAAATAGATGATTTGGAATTTTGGTAAAATTATTCGAAAAACTCAAAATCCTTATCAATTCATGAGTTGTGAATTAATATTTAATATTTATTGTGTAATAAATATTTAAACAGTTCGGAAACTATATAATAATTTATTAATTAATTTATCACAATAATTAAAAAAATTTTCTTAGAACATCAATTGCTATAAAAGTGTTATACCTGCAAAATATTTGTTTAATTTAGTCGTATAAGTTAGTTTTGGTCGATTTGAAAATTCGAATGAGGATACACACAAAAGAAACGGCGATTTTCCGCTTTTGTTTGTGGACGAAAATATCTGGGAGAAATACTTAACCAAAAAATGTAAATAGATCGTTAACGTCTATGAAAAAATACCTAGTAGACGATCAAGGCAGAGGTCGATGGACGTATTTAAATCAGACCTTGAAAAATGTGCTCCAGGTTCAAAATTAGAAGAGTGTGTAAACAGGGATAGATAGAAGGTCCTAAATGGACTATAGAAGCTAAAAAAAAAAAATTGTTCAGAATCGAATTACATTAATTGTATTGAAATATAATATAAACGAGTATGGAGTACATTTTAAGTTATTCTTAAATATTCTTAATATTTCGATATTCTTAAGTTTTGGTTAATTTAAGGAATTATATTGACTAATTAAATTTAATAATTTAAATAATTTGATTTGTATACATAATGTGTTGGTGAACATATCAAATAATAAAAAATTACGCAGTAAAATATTATAATCTAATTCAATTTAAAATCATAATATTTTTGTGGTGAATTATTTCTTAGCTTTTATTTTCCAGCTGTAAATATTTTCTAAAGTGAGATTCTAACTTTTTATCAAAAGACGAATTTCTTTAAAAATATTTCATTATATACACATTATTTATAAGAACCTGATCTGTATTTATTTAAATAAATAACAATTAGGTTTTGATAACAAATAGCTATTTAAATTTGATTATTATACATTCTTAAATGTTGAAATCTTTATACTTATCAAAGTTTTATTTATACAATTCATATGACCAAGCTTTCATTATTTCGCCAATTTATTTGATTTGAACTTTCATAAATTTATATGTTTTAACTTGTTTTTTTTATTTTAATGGTAGTTTTTTATTTTAAACTATTAAACTTTGAAAAATTGAAAAATAAAAATAAATGAATGACAAACACT